TCTTTATTTGGTTTAAAGCTAAGGGCTATTTCTCCCAACTTTCTGAGTCCTCTTTTCTGTACTCTACCCAGCCCTGGAATATAAGCCTTAGGAAGTTCCTGCCCTGTGTTGGAGCTCTGCACAGTCAGATGCGCAGTCTTCCTGAAGACCCAGGCACCTTCTTCCCAAGGTACCCATTGTTAATATTTGTCCCCTTCCTTGAGGCCGGCATGGCACTGCTTCTCTTGGTACCATTCCCTGTTATCCACAACCACCAAGTCTCTGCAGATGTGTTCCTTTTACACCACAGAGAAACTAAGCTGCAAAGGCTCACCTTTTAGTGTCCCTTCCAAATAAAAGACACTGTGACTCCCTCTGGCAGCAGATGCTCCCAGTCAAGGGGGTCCCTTCTACCCAGACCCATCATGCCCTCCATCCGGGGGATGAATATTGACTGCTAACCCTCCATTTTGGGGGATGTTTCTATTTATTTACTCATCTATTTATTTTACATCCTGGCTGCTGCCTCCTTCCATCCAATCTCACTCTTAGCCCCTCCCCCGCCCCCAATCCCCTCCTCTTCATGGCAGATCTCCCATGAGTATCAATAAAACATAGTATATCAAATTGCAGTAAGACTAAGCACTTCCCCGTGTACTAAGGCCGGGCAAGGTGACCCAGTATAAGGAGTAGGATCCCCAAAGCAAGCATATTAGGAGTCCCATAAGAGGACCAAGCTACACAATTGTAATATATATATTCAGAGTGGCTAGGTCAGCCCCATGCAGGCTCCCTGGGTGTCAGTTCAGTCTCTGTGAGTCCCCATGAACCCAGGTTAATGTTTGGCTGTGGGTGTCTGCATCTACCTCCAACAGTCCATGACTACACTTTATGTCTCCACCTATGCACCCACTATCACAGCCTGGGGGTTGACATACATCTCAAATGCAGCATACTCAAAACCAGTTGTTCAGTTGTTAAAGGTCTAAAACCCTGAGACATCTCCACTGCTTTTTTCCCTCACATTTAACAATCATCCAGAAACCCTTGCTATGTTTCCTTCAATACATCCAGGGCTACAGTTTCTAGCCTGGTCTGAGGCACTAGATTAATATCTGGATTATTGTACTGGCTTTCCAAGTAGTCAACCGATGTTCCCTTCCTTTGCACCTGTACATTCCCTCTAGCTCCCATGCGAAAGTGCCTTGGTCTGGATCACTCTCTCCTGGGGGTTTTATCTAGACAAGCTCGAGCTGCACTTGTAGGGTTGGGTTTATGAGACACTCTCACTCTGCTCCATCTGGAAATTGCTTCTTGGCCATGGACTTGTGATCCCTTTGCCTCTTGGGTGCTGAGCTTATAAGTATGCCACCCTGCCTGCACTTACAATGCTTTTCCACAGCTGCAGTGGTTTTGTTAAAATACCACCCTGAGCCGTGCATGGTGGCACACGCCTTTAGTCCCAGTACTTGGGAGGCAGAGGCAGGTAGATCTCTGTGAGTTCAAGGCCAGCCTGGTCTACATAGTGAGATCCAGGACAGCCAAGGGAACAACATAGTGAGACCCTGTCTCAAAAGAATCAAAACAAATAAACAGGTACGTAAGACTGTAGATAGACAGAATGACAGACAGACAGACAATACCACCTCACGAAAACCCTCTGCTCATAACGGTCCATTTGAGTCCTTCCAGAACTGACAAAGCTCTATGTGACATGGCTGCCACCATCTCTCAGGTATCAGCTTCACCTTTATTATGCCAGGGAAACCCTTGCTTGCTTGGGTCACTATCAAGGGCTTCCTAGGTTCGCCTCATACCCAGATTCGTATGACATAAGCCTCACACAGTACTGGCACCACTTACAGACAGGGTTCTCCAGAACAGCAGCTCTATCACACAGCCTCAAGCCCTGAGCTGCGCCCTTGATGGAGAATCTATGCAACTCTTACTGCAATGCTCCACACTGCTCTCTGAGCGTCTCCCCAGTCCCTCTTGTCAGGCTTATACGACAGAACAGTCTACACCTCTCCCAGACACAAATGCTCCTGAAAGTCATAGGAGTCAATGCTATGGCTCCTAATCTGGCAATTATCGCTTTTAGCTGAGACAACCTGACAAATCAGCAGTCACATATAAGCACTGTTACCTAGCAACAGAGTTGAAGCTTTACCTGTATCAGGTCGCCAGGGGAACAGAGGCTGAGGAAGTGAAGGGGCTAGCACCCCATGTCTCTACACCCCTGTTCTGGCCTGGAGTGCTCCTTTCAACTGTGTGACCAGTCCCTGCCCATCTTCCAACTCCTTGGCCAAAAGCCACTCAGGTCCTGGTCCCATCTGAGGACTTCATGCTTCTGTTGCCCTCCTTCCATTCCAGTTTCTCTAACATTTGCTTTCTATCTATCAATTGCGATTCTGTGGTTTTGGTTACACACTGTCAGTTGTGGTCCTAAATATTAAATGGAAATCTCAGAAATAAGTGATTCATGCACCCATTCACTTCATGCTGTGTAGTGTGACACTAGTAATTGTCTTGGTTTTCAGGGTGACTGTGGGGGCACCTCGGCACTTGCATTCCTGTAAACTTGTATTTTTAAAGTGGCAATTGAGCACCAGGGGAGGTGATCTGAACAAATCGACAGCCCCAAGAAGTCTCAATTTAACAGGGAAAACATTTTTAAAAAGATTTCCTGAGGTTGCTAAGAGCCATATAATGTAAGAACAAACAGAAAAACATCAAGTTTGGTAGAATCCTTTCAGAAGCCACTGGAGGCCTTGTCAGCATCAATTGTTATAATTTACTCCCGGATTTTGCTTGCTTTCTTCTCTCCTTCCCCTCAGGCTGAGGTGGGTTTTGATTGTTCATTTAGTGTGCGTGCTCTTGCATGTGCTGCAGGAAGAGGCAGCTTTCTGAAATCAGTAATCCTCGACCATGTGATTCTTAGGACCCAGCTCTGCGGGGCAGGCTTGGCGAGTGCCTTTACCCACTGACCCACCTCAACAGCCAGAGGTTTTTTTATCTTTTATTTTTCCTTCCTTCACTGACAATTCTCAGTACAGCAGTGCCCAGCACAGAGTAGTGTGTTCTTCAACAGTTATTTTATTTATGAAAATATACTTATGCTCTCCTTCTGCTTTAGACTTTAGTTTTTCCTTGGTATTCTTTTCTGAGTGGGTGGGGAGAACAGAAGTGTGGTTTTCTTTGTTTTAAGACATGGCTTCATGTAGCTCAGGCTAGCCTGGAACTCATTATGTTGGATGACCTTGATTTTACTCCTGGTTCCAATTTCCAAGTGCAAGGATTATGAGTGTTCACCACCAGGGTAGCTAGCAAAATGTTTTTATTGCTTAAATAAAACAGTGAACATGGTCTTAGGGACGAGGAATGAGGACTCTGGATCTAAATTTCTTGGGTTTAAAGAATGACTATGCTGCCCACTGGGAAGTTTCCCTTACTGTCTGTGTACTTATTATAGTGACAATTCCTATCTGAGAGTTGGCACGAGGAAGGAATGAGTCACCACAGCAAGTAACATGTCCAGAAGGATGCCGGCCAGGCACACAAGCAACATTAGGACACACTTTAATGATTGACAATACCATTTTTTTTCTTTTGGCTTTTTTGAGACAGGGTTTCTCTGTATTGTTCTGGAGCCTGTCCTGGAACTAGCTCTGTATACCAGGCTGGTCTGGAACTCACAGACATCTACCTGCCTCTGTCCCCCAAGTGCAGGGACTAAAGGCGTGCACCACCAACTCCCGGTTAACAATAATCATGTTTTAAAGGCCTTTATTTCTACACTGTGTTGTTTCTGGAGATTTCTCTTTCTTCCTGCATCTTCCACCCATTCTTCCTGAAGGTCCCATCCACCCACAACCTCTAACTTCCACCCACTTATCCAACCACCGAACTGGTTTCTAAGGGGGCCAGATGTTACTTTTCTCTCTTTCGTGAGTCAGTTGGGAGCTACCTGCCGTTGTTACCCACACCTTCCCTGAGCACGGGACTCTCCTGCTCTCCACCTGGCCCTACTGCTCCCCATCTCTCCTTCAAGAACTCTTCAGTGCTGTTCCTGGCATCCTTCCCCTTCCCTCATTCTCCTTGGATGATTCCAGTCCCAGGTACCACACTGACGCCTTCCCAAAGACACCCACTCTGCAGAAGTCTCCTGGCACCTTCTCCCCACTCTTCCAGCTGCCACCCTCTACTCAGCCAGTTAATTCTCCAATTTTTAATGCAACTAAAACCTTTTTCTCATGTCTAGGCTAAGCTAAATTCTTTCCTCTGTGCTTCGTGGCAACACCAATAGCCTCTTCTGCTCGCCTATAAGCTTAGCTCCCCCATCAACTACATACAGTATCTAGGTCCTTCTAGTGTGGTGCCTGGCACAGTAACAGGCACGAAGACATATCTGGATTTGATACATGGATACACAGCTTCCATACAGAATGCATTTGTGACTGAGTTACATTTTAACTTAGAACTAGACACTGAGTAAGTACACTTTGGCCTGTCCCCAAAATATTAATTCTCCCAGAAAGACTCAGGCTCAAGCATAAGCATCAAAGAAAGCTCAAAAGCTGTATTTGACAATGCAAGTGGCATTGTGAACACTTCAATGTGAAGGCAATGAAAGATGAGGAGCCCTTTTGGATGTTAATGAGATCAAATGTCACCTCAGCAAGTAATGTCACCTCAGCAAGTGGCTCCCTTGCATTCTGGCACAGCACCATCTTGTCAGGAAGGTTTAGCAAGTGTTCCCTGCCCGATTACCAATGCTATATATAGACAGAAATGACTACCTAATTGTTACCTGTGACCTCCCATACAGCCAGCTAGCTCCTCTCCCTTCTCACGCCCTCTTTCTCCTCTCCTTCTGCCCTGTACAGTGCTGGGGATTGCACCCAGGGCTTTATGTATTTATCCCAGGCATCTCCCACCAGCGAGCTGCACCCCTGGCCTAGAAGAGCCAGCCCTGAAGTCGCACCATTTGGCTTTCAGTCCTCCAAGGGCGAGACACTCACCTGTAAAGTACATCCAAACACCCCGATCATCAGCATGGCCACTGAGAGGTAGTCCGTGAACACATCCCACCATGGCTTCAGCACCCGGAAGGCGGGCTGCTGCTCCGAGAACTGCCGGAACTCTGTCACTGGAATCATGTTTCTGAGAAAGGAGAGAATGCTGGTGAGTTAACATTTCTTGGGACATCACATAGGACATTTTGTTGTTGCTACTAAGCAATGTCTACAATGCTTTTGTGAACCTGCAGGAGCAGGGTCAAAGGGACACACAGTGCTCCTGAGCCAGTGATGGACCACCAGTGGAAGAAATAAAGAGGGCCACATACAGCCAAGTTAGCACCTGGTAACCAAGCTCCCTCCGTGCTCCTCTGGCTTAGACATACCCTGGGATTCCCTGGATCCTCACTTCCTCACACCCTCAAGTAGAACAAGAAGACGCCACAGAGAAGGGAGCTACGCTCTGAAATGTTTTTGCTGTTTCTCATCTCCTCAGGCCGTGCTTTAGAGTCCCTGCCATTTCTGTATCCATCTGTACTGCTTTACTGGAATCTGTTCATGGTGCTTCCTTTACTCCACAGAGAATAGAAACCATGTGGCTACTGCTTGTCCTTTAGTAGGCTGTGTGTGTGATTTTCTCCTCACGTTTATTTTGTCTAAATGTGTCTCTTTTTGTTCCTTTTCTGTTTCTTACATGACACATTCCACTGTGACTCTCAAACATATCCTGATATTCTATTCTGAGAAACCAGTTTGCCCAGGAAACTTGCTACACTTTGCATGAGTGCTCCCTAGAAGTCAGGTGTTAACACATGTATGGCCGCCACAGGTATGGCCGCCACCCTGCAGTGCTTTTAGGAGGAGGAAGACCTTTAAGAGATCAGGTCCAGTAGAAGGAAATTAGGTTGCTGTGAGAGCATCCCTTTCGGGGACACTGTGCCTCTCTCTCAGCTTCCTAGCTGTCACATGACCAGTAGGCCTTGCCTGCCATGTGCTCCTGGCCTAGATGTAACTACATGCCAAAGATTCAAAAGCAATAGGTAAACAGACAATGGACTAAAGTGTTTAAGAACATGGACCAAAAGAAACCTTCAGTCTTTTACAGTTGCTTTATCCCAGGTGTTTGTTACAGTGATACAAAATGAACACAAAAATAGTATCTCTATAATAATGACTGTTCAGCATTAAATGAGACATTAAATTGCCCCCTGCCCCCAAAGCCTAGGGAACGTTGGAAAAGGGGAAAGGAAGAAAAAGATGAGGAGTGCTATGAAGTGCTGTTTTCTTGACAGGTCATGGCATCCACCTGGGCCCTACAACATTCCACTGTAAGCTGGGGCGGGGCTTTGAGGAGATATGGGGGTTAGAGGTTGCAGGAGGAGGAAGCTAGAGTCCTCTGTAAGAACACCAAGTGCTCTCAAGTGCTGAGCCGCCTCTCTAGCCCTCCGGCTACTCCAAATACTTTAAAAGCCATGGCTATGTAAACAACAGCAACTGAAAGCTCCCTGTGCACCCGAGGCTCCCGGGAGGGAAGGGAAATGGGCACCCCCTCTCAGTCTGTTCTCTCACGTGCCCACTCTCGCAACATCCACCATGAAACTCCTGTGAATTTGTTGGTGGCCATGGCTTTGCAAAGTTAACATACTGTTCATTCTATCTTATTGCTTTGCAATTCTTTACTTGGTTTTAGTTTTGTTTTGAGACAGGGTCTCTCTACATAGCCCTGGCTGTCCTAAAACTCACTTTGTAGACCAGGCTGGCCTAGAACTCACAGAGGTCTTCCTGCTTCTGCTTCCTGAGTGCTGGGACTAAAGGTGTACATCACCACACCCACTTACAACTGTTTCTTAAACAATAATTTGGGCTTTACTCTTTTGAGTTTATTCTTTAATTATGTTGGGAAATTTCAGCCTGCCTCCTTGAAATCTGAGTGGCACTGATGTGGTTTTTCCATCCTACTGAAACACAATTCCACGATAACTCCATCGGCCACCTTCAGGTTCTTGAGAACTGAGCCTACTATGTTGTGCATGTGTGCCTGTCCTAGTCTGCTTTCTAGTGCTGTGATAAACACCACAACCAAGGGAAACTTGGGGAGGAAAGGGTTTATTTGGCTCACGGGTCCTGGTCACAGCCCATCTTTGAGGAAACACCAAGGCAGAACACAAGCAGGGTAGGAATACAGAGGCGGGAACTGAAGGAGAGCCCATGGATGATCCCTGCCTACAGGCCTGCTCTCCATGGCTTGCTCAGATTGTTTCTTTATACAACTCAGGACCACCAGCCCAAGGGAGACACCAACCCTAGTGGATTGCACCCCCACTAATCATTACTCAAGAAAATGCCCCACAAACTTGCCCAATGCTTTCTCTTAGATGATTCTAGTGGGAATCAAGCTGACAAAAACTAACCGGCAGTGTCCTTAAAGCCAGCACAGGCAAACCACTCAAAAGCACCCAATGGTTTCAATCAGTCCTAGAGCAAAGGGCCTTTTCCTCAGTCAACCACGACTGTCACCTCTCTTACTGTACTGAGGTCACTTGCTTGACACAGACAGGCTCTGCGTCAGCTGGATTTCCAAGTTCTGCTGCAGAGGTGGCAATCATGTCACCAGCCATCATTCCTGGAAACCAAGAAGCTCTGAGCAGTTGTTGGGGAAATAAAAGGATGGATTCAGATGCTCATTCACCTGGGGCAGTGATGACAACTTGGTGACAGTAGCAACTGCTGCAGCCCACTGTTCTTCCATGGGTTTGGCTGTTGTGTCTTTCACAAATTCCTTACATTCACTTAGGCAGCAGACAATTTCAGGAAGAAAAATGTCACTGTGGAGCAGTGGGCTCAAAAAATAACGGGAATCCCAAAGCATTTCCTATGCTCTTGAATATTTAACATTAGAGATGAAAAACACATTTAAAAAGTGTATTCATTTATGAAAAGAGTAAATGTATGATATAAAAACTGTTGGTTGCACATTAATGTTTCTCACGAAAGTCAATCAACAAAACTATGAACTCAAAAATGAAAAAAAAAACTCCATTACATGCTAACATTTATTATTATGAAAAATTAAATGTTCTAAAACACGGAAAGATGGCATTGTTTTACACTTTTGAAAATCTCTCCAATATCTAAAGAGAGATGACAGTTGGATTTTCAGGTCTGGTTTTGAAGCTAGTGTACTGTGACACGCTGTTTGGGTTAAAACGCATGAGACTAAACCCAGCCTCACAAAAATATGAGTTCAGAAATTCAAGAACTACATGACTAGACTTTCATGTAACTGTGGATATTTATTTTTGAGACCTTGACTAGTTAGTTACAGCACCGACAATAGGGAGGTAGTAATGAACCTCACTATAAGTGTTTCTCTGGCCCCTAAGAGTATCAAAGGCAATGGGCATCATCTAAGGCATAGGGGGCTAGAACCAAACAGGTAGAAAGGTTTAAGCTAGACTAGAAGTGAGCTGTTGTCTCTATTGAGTATACTTTGTATCTCTCTCTCCTAGAGTAGAGTGTTCACCCAGCTGCAGGCCCTTTGTGGCCAATATAGAGAGGCATCCGCTGGCTACAGTTGCAAAGCAATGCCACTTAAGGGTCCATTAGACCTGCCTGCAGGCAGGCAGCTGCCCAGATAACTAGGCTTGACCAAACAGGTAGAAAGGTTTAAGCTAGACTAGAAGTGAGCTGTTGTCTCTATTGAGTATACTTTGTATCTCTCTCTCCTAGAGTAGAGTGTTCACCCAGCTGCAGGCCCTTTGTGGCCAATATAGAGAGGCATCCGCTGGCTACAGTTGCAAAGCAATGCCACTTAAGGGTCCATTAGACCTGCCTGCAGGCAGGCAGCTGCCCAGATAACTAGGCTTGACCAAAAGGTAGAAAGGTTTAAGCTAGACTAGAAGTGAGCTGTTGTCTCTATTGAGTATACTTTGTATCTCTCTCTCCTAGAGTAGAGTGTTCACCCAGCTGCAGGCCCTTTGTGGCCAATATAGAGAGGCATCCGCTGGCTACAGTTGCAAAGCAATGCCACTTAAGGGTCCATTAGACCTGCCTGCAGGCAGGCAGCTGCCCAGATCACTAGGCTTGCATTAGACCTGCCTGCAGGCAGGCAGCTGCCCAGATCACTAGGCTTGATAGCGAGGTAGATAGCAGCCTTGACTGCAGGCTGGTGTAGCCAAGGAGGTGGGCACCACTCCTTCCTCGCTTTAGGCCAAACTGATCAGCCAAAGCCAGCTCCATTGAGTTCATCAGTGCTAGAGAAATGCACAGGCTCCATGGATGTCCAGGATGCAGAAGCCAGCTACTGATAGGAATATATGGAAGACACAGGGCAAGGAGGGTTAGGTATCCCACTGGAGTTAGAGAATAGCCAGACATCTGTGTCACCCCCCATCTAAGGCTCAAGAACTATTGTAGAAGAGTGGGGTGGAAAACTGTGAAATGAGTCACTCCCACCTCAAGCAACTCATGGGGTTTTTCCTTGAGACACCTCTGTACTCTGTGGTGTTCTGCATCTTTCCCATGCAATCACAGGGTCATCAATACATCTAGTTAAAAGATGGAAGTAACTAAAACAATAACTTCTATTGAGTCAAAGGGACACTATATGAAACCGAGTTTAAAAAATAAAACAAGGTAACTGTGTGCTTAGAAAGACTACTCTCCTCCCTCCAGTCTGAGTTCTTCATCTTGATGTATGAAACGCATCTTACACACCACTGATTTTGCAAAATCAGTGACAAAGGCAAAGGACATGTTAGCATCACAAATTGTTGACTTTGTGGGGTCCCTTATATGTGTGGGCTAGTGGGGCTCCATGGGCTACCAAGACAGAGGCTCACTGGTCCTTACTGATGGTTTTCCTTGGAAAAGCAAGGGTCTAGAACTCACAGCAGGTGAGACTCCATGAGCCAGTGGCTGAGGTTTCTCCTAGGCTTCATGCTTTACTATGGGCAATGAGGGTGAACTAAGGAGCCAAAGCATGCCCGTGAGGTATGGTGGTTTGAAAGAAAATGGCCCCCATAGGGAGTGACACTATGGTGTGGCCTTGTTGGAGGAAGTGTGTCACTCCCAGCCCTGTCAGTGGTTGTTTTGTTGCTGTCTTGCAGTGGGTACGGGTGAAATGTTCCAATTTCATTATCTCAG